ACAGTCCCCCCCCCCCCCCCGGGGGGGGAGGCCTCTTGCTTTCTGTCTGTATCTCTTCAGAACGCGCACACAACCCTATAGCAAAAATCTCTCTCAAAAACAAATAAATATAAGATGGCCTTCATCAATTAAAAACTTATCTATGAAAGCTAAGTTGAGAGATGCAAAGACAAGGTACAAACTGGGAAAATATTGTTTGCAAACCACATATCTTACAAGACTTCGGATCTAGAATATGTAAAGAATCCTTGAACTTCAAGAGAAAGAAAAGAAAAACCCAACTCTTACTAGAAGATGAGTAAAAAGGGTCAGCCTATGTGGTGGTTTAGGTGCCTAGGTCCTATTTGGCAGAACTTATGGTTGGAGTTCTGGACCTGGTGAACTGAAAAACTATCTTAGGTGTGTACATATGTCCAAAATCCCAACAGGATAGAGAAACAAAAGGGAAGCATTGCCACAATGGTAGATACTTTCTTATCTTTTCTTTCTCTGTCAACTCTCCAGGAGCGAATGTGACTTCTGGCAAAATTTTTAAATAGAAAGGAAACAAAGGAAACGAAGAGACATTTCACAGAAGAGTGACAAATAAACAAAAAAAAAGTTCAATATTTGCCATTATAAAAATGCAAATTAAGTCCCAACAGATGATCACCACACATTTATTATCAGAGACAAATAAAAAAAATGGTGACCATGCCAATGCTGGGAAGGACACACAGAAGCTAAATCTCTTACACTGCTGGTGGGAACATAAAATCACTCCTGAATTAGCTTTTTGTTTGCTTAAAAATCCAGAGTAATTCTAATTTTTTTGATTTCTCAAAAACACTGTAAATTTAAAAATTAGAATTTTGTCCATTGTTCTTTCAATAACAAATGTACTCAGTCTTCCCAATGATGCACAGAAAACATATTTTAGTTTAACACCTAACAGGCAAGAGATTTCATGCATGTCAAAAATGTCTGAGGGGGACTGTCCAAGAGTACTGATGTCATCTTTGCTTCATCTCTGTTTTATATCACTTTTTAGCAAAGGGTCTTGAAATTTTCAAATTTCCTATATCTAATGCTTCCAGAGGATCATTAATCCACCATGAAAAAATTTTCTTAAAAACAGAACAAACAAAAGGCTTAATCAATTGCCCCATGTAAACTTTCTCTCAAATTTGGACTTGAGAACTAAGGAACCAGTATCAAACATTCTACCCCTAGAAGAA